GTTTCCCAAAAGCATCGTAAGCTTAAGTTGATCGTAGCTCCACTGGTTTCAATGGGTGTACGATGTACTTAAGCTTACGATGCTTTTGGGAAACACAGCCCAGAGCGAGAGCAAGAGCAGCCCATCAACGTGCTTAAGCTCCACCCACGGCATGCCTCCAGGAGCTCGACTGTTTTCGGAAAGAGCGGTACAGCTGCATCTGTCTTTTATAAATCTGATAAAACGAGAGTCTTCGGAGATATGAAGTATGCAAGACTACTCTATAAGTACTCAAGATTAATATGAGACTGGCAGAAACTGTGTGTGTTATGTCCCCTTTAAATTGTATTAATCTTTCATAATATTACTGTTTTATTGTATTTAAAAAATAAATATATAAATGCTGTTTAGGTAAGGATAAGTGACTTCTTACCACTCCTAAACTTTTGAATTGTAGTGTATATTCTATTTGTTTTCTCTCACTATACTTTTTTTATATTGTTCTGTGCTGTATTAATTTTGACAGCTGTAAAAATACATTTTGTAAACTTCTTCTCACAAAATTTCCACAGGCTCACTAGAAAACAGTTTGAACGCCCCTACTTTAGACACGTTGTCTGATGACACATTAAATAGCCTGTTAAGGGACACGATGCGTAGTTGAAACATGTGCTGCTAGGTGCTCACCTCTACAATAGCATCCACAGGGCAGGCCTCCTGGCAAAAGCCACAGTAGATGCATTTGGTCATGTCTATGTCATAGCGCGTTGTTCGGCTGCTGACGTCAACACGAGGTTCTGCCTCAATGGTGATGGCCTGAGAGAGAAAAACATGGAGGTCACCTTGTACATTTAAATTTCACTATGATGCTTCTTATTCACATGTGCGAACAAATAAAACCTACTAGGGCTGTCGCGATAACCGCAATATCGCAATACTGACGAGCACTACTGACGAGCCAACTGCAGAGGAATGCAAGAACCGCAGCAACCGCGATATTTGCATGTTTTCTTTTTTCGTAAGGTTACGCCCTTCTTGTTTTACACTTCGTGCACATGTACTGAATATTAAATAAGTTAGTAATGATAACATAATTTTTACCAACCATGCTGATTTGTACAGAGGCTCTGTAGATTTGCACTTAACAAGCCTAAACAGACAGCGAATGAGAGAGAGATCGACTGAGCGTGTGCGATTACCTGCACCTGTCCTTCAGGCCGAGTCATATATTTTTGTGAATATAGGTTGTCATGTCCAAGGAAAGCAAAATCTCTGGTTTAGCATCGATGCATTGCTGGTCAGCTGAGCCTTCTAAAGTGGCGCTCAAAGTTAAAATGATTTCAACAGCGTCATGAATCATCTTTTTGAACGTGTAGTTGAATGAACCGTTTAAAGACCTTGTGGTGCAACAATGTAACTGCACTGACTGACAGCCCGTCTAGAACGCGCAGGTGAAATATCAGCAGAAAGTCTCTTGTCCAGTCAGATTAGAAGATCAGAACTAACTGTTATACATAATATAGGCTAACAACAGCCCAACAATCTTATTGTCAGGTTTATGTTCGGTTATGCGGACCCTTATTTTGACATTCTCTTCTGTTTTCTTCACTTCCTGTTTCAACACTCTATTTAGTTTCTGTTTCATTGGTTTCTGAATATGACCTCATTACATCATAACACACACAGAGATTATATATGTGGCGATAATACCGCATATCGCACTGTTGAGCCACTCCGCAAGGGAAATTCCTTCACCGCGACCAGTGTTGGGCAAGTTACTCTGAAAATGTAATCAAATTACTGATTACTCCTTTTAAAAGTAATCACATTACTGTTCTGATTACTTTATTTCAAAAGTAATTAGTTACATTACTAGTTGCGTTACTTTTTTCTCCATGAAATTTATGAAATCCCAGCATACATGCTCCCGATAAATATTTGTTATTAAAGCATCAACATTAACAGAACACTGTTATTTTTAACTAAAGCAAGCGGCGGCTGCATACATGGTTTGGCATAGCAGAATGCCAGCAAAGAGCGCTGCATTTATAATCTCTAAAAGACATCTCAGTTCATCGCAATCTCACAAATCTCTGTTATAACACAATAAATACAGTATATGCATAATGAATCTTTCATAATGTCTACAATTCGTGTGTTATAATGAGAGGATTCGTAAGCACGCAAATTTCAGCACTGCATTGCTCAACGCTGCAAACACGCCTAAATAGAAACTCTGCATACAGGGGCGGTTCTGGGGGGCCAGTGCCCCCCTGCCAACAAACTTGGCCCCCCTTTGGCCCCCCCTAAATTTGGAATCATATCACACCAAACAATTGTGGGTGAAATGCGCAGTTTGTCCTGTAAATTATGCATATAAAAAAGAAAGACATC